AAAAGAAATATTTATTTAGAAGATAGGAAGACGTATTGACTAGCATAATGTAGAGTTGCTACTGTAATATTGGTAATAGGTAACTAGTAACGAAAATTTTCGATAGGATCTACAACGATATTGAAATATTGTCATCATGTAATAAACATAACTGTGCAGGTCAGTCTTTTTAACAGGTAATATATAAACTGATCTATCATAAAATTTCGGCTTTCGTTATTATTATATACTAGTTTTGAATTTTATATACCTTATTTCGTTTCGAATTCATCAATGTTTGATAATGTGTAACAATTTTTGTTATTGCTAAATTACTTGTTAGTTATCTTAATTCACGTACAAAAATCACACCTGGGTTTAGTTGAAATAAAACTTTGGAGATAGATGTAACAAACAAAACTTATATACAGATTCAAGTAAAGAAGATTGGATATAATGCATAGTTTGAAAGATGTGGGCAAATGTGAATTACAGGTGACAGTATATCTTGCATTTGTATGATTACATTAATTGTAGTTTATGTTAAGAATTATTTAGAAACAAGTCAATTTTCTTGGAAATGAGTGAAAAATAAATTATCAGAAACGTTATAGTTGTTTTTTGTCGTTTCTACTTGCTCCGGTAGAAGTTACAACTAATTGAGGTAAGTTGTAACACAACATTTTATCTAGAATTTGATTAATTGTGAAATAATGAACAACATTCGTGGGATTATTTACACTTGATTCGGTAGAGGAATAGTTACAGCAACTTAACATCTTCATTTTGTAGAAATATAATCAGTGGATCCCAAAATATATTAATTTAAAAACAAACTGTCACAACCAACACCTAGCTCTACTTTAGGTATAGATTATATAAAATTACATGTTTTTAATTTCACTTTATAAATATGCATATTATTAAATTCATTATTATCTGTAACAATAAATGATCCAAAAAATAACATTTGTAAAATAATCTGAATATTCATATGTTTGAACAATATAATACACACAATATTAAATCCCCTATTACAAAACCTCTCGAAAAGCGACCACTTGTTTTCGGTATCAGCGAAATGTCACAAATCTTCCTTACCGAAAACGCTAAACGCTTCCTTAAAGGAATAATTTGACACTTGTTAAACCTTATTTACAGAACGGCGTCCCTTTCGCCCCAAAATTTCTTATCTTTTTCTTTCTCGCAGAGAAATGAGAAGGGGAGCAAGTATTATTACTGACACTTGTTACATGCCCCAAGACGTTCGTGAGTAAACATTCCACCCTCCAACGTGCCATCTTTTTCTCGGCAGGACTTCGACTCTTTCGCGCTTCTGTGGGACCGTAAGAATGTAAGAAAGTAAGAAAGCGAATCCCCAAATTGTTTGCATAAGAAGAGGGAAGAATGTTTGCGATAAGTGGTGCCGTTTTGACACTTGTTGCTTCGGAAAAATGTCTTCGGCGAAAACGGGAGATTTCGATGCTTGCTACTTATCTCGACGAAATAATTTACTTGTTGGTTATAATGATTAGCTGATAATAACAAGTCGGGATTTGAATATATACGTTATTTTAATAATTAATGAATTAATTATTTGGATCAATTTATTTTAACTAATATTTGAAATTTGTTATCAGCCATAAACGGTATGTTGATTGAAGCGAAACTTTCTACTGGTGATAATTTAATAGTGTTAATCAAAAACAATTTTATGTTAATTAGTTAATTGAAAATACTTGAATCAAAATAATTATCATATATACTAATATGAGGATATTATTATCATAAATGTAAATAGGAGAACCAAAAGGATTGGTAAGAAGAAAAATTCAGACGATTGATGACTTACGCGAAAAAAGAAAATGCAGGGAACTGATAGCCAAAGCACAAGGTCAGAAAGCATGAAAGCAGAGATTTGGGAAGGAAAATGCATAAAATTGTATGAAAAAGTGATTTATGGAAATAATAAACAAAGAAGGAAAAGGAAGTCGTTGATTTGTGGTATTCTGACACTATGGACCTGCAATCGGGCAGATTACCATTTATTATTATTATACTAATATGATATGCAGAGATAAAAATAAATAAGGGGACGAAAAAAATACCTTTGAACAGACAACCATTTATTAATATTTTATATTAATTTAATGCTTTAATTTTTCGACAAAAAAAACTTATTTAAATTAGTATGAGATATTTTTTTTAATATTTAAATTGAATTGATTTACGTTTGAATTCAACGTTATTTTGCTTTTTTCATATTACAAATCATCATTTCTAAATTATTAAGTTAATATTTTAAAATATATTAAGTAGTATAAATTAGGAACATTGAATGATACATAAATGATATTAACATAATCGTATTGAAACAAAAAAAGATTTTTGCTAAAGTTTATTTAATAAAGAAAAAATTAAGTTAGACCCAAATCCTTTTTTTATTAAGAGTACCTCAAGAGAGTAACATTGAACTTTTGGAAAATTCTCATATTTTCATATTTAATTTTTAGATGCCAAATATACGCTTATTAGACAATAAGTAATGTGTAAATAAATAAAATTATATTTTGATTTTCTCAGAAAACTTATTTTTTTATGAGAAGATATTTGGAAGAAATTTATTGTAATTTTAATTTTTAAATTAAATCTAGATCATCATTTGAAATTATAAAAATGAAAAATTTGATAATATAATAAATAATATATCTCATGTTAATGCGTTTCGCAAAAATATTATTCGACAAGCACCAGGAAAGTTAAATGAAACATGTATTTTATCGATTATTATCCTAAATAGTAATTATAATGAAAAAATATAAAATATAACTGAGGTGTTTTATATATTTTATTTGGTAAAAAGCCTTGATATGTATACGAGACCGTACAAAGTAATATGTGTTACTTTTTATATAATTTATCATTTAGAACTATAAAAGATTCATTTAAAATCTAAATGATACATTTTAGATGTTATAATAATTTATGCATTTTATCGAAGAAAATAGGTTGAATGATGAAACTAAAATCTATATAAATTATTATATTTCAATCATCGAATTCTGATCTTAAGGTTACTATCGCGGAAACTACAATACGGACAATTGGAAAAATCATGCAGATTTTTCAGATGCAGATATCTTGAAAAGTCCTAAATAGAAGATAATAGTATAATAGTCTAGAAGAGCCCAAATTCTAGAGAATTCTCTAAACTTGGTAAAAACTAGTAAAACTGTTTACGAGTTGACTTTGGACATTTTAGATTACTTGTATGATAAAGTGGCTTAATTATAGATCAATATTCTAAAAATCGCACAATCAACAAATTTACAGAACAACAATTAATCCTTGTACATACCTCGTCCGCTTCTTCCGACAAATCGTAAGTCGTTGAATTTAGCAACCTGATTCTTCATAACCGCGGTGCAATTTCTTAACTCCGCGCAGAAATTTTCATCGTTTCCGGCACGAAGGGTAACTAAGGTTCCGTCAGTGACGTCGCCAAGGGACACCACACGGAACGAGGCGGGCAACGTCTTGTTCGAACGCCAATGTGCAGGTAACACTGTGCATACCTGAAAATAAAGTTAAAGAAAAATAATATATTATAAAAAATGTAAAAGATACAAAATTACTAAAAGATTTAATACGTTATGTTAAAAAATTTATTGGCATCTGAATCTAATAGTAGCTCACAAGCTTGATCTAACCATCAGAAGTTATAAGAATAAACTATCGACAGATATATTTCAATATGCATTTATATTATAAAACCATTTAAATGTGAATGAATAAATAAAAATCCAATAAACAATTTCTCATACTTATAATTAGGTAGAATAACTATTTCGACTTTACTTATTGATTTGTATTTATATTTTATTATTTATATATTTATATTTTTATTAGTATCTCAAGATAAAAGTTTATATTTCTGACGTTCAAAAGTATGAATATGAGTATGTGCTTTTATTTTATTTTTTATTATTTTTCCTATTTTATTTTCAATAGCAATCAAAATACAGTACAATTCTATGAGCTATTTGGCTTATATCATTCTTATATCTTTCAAACACACATATAAATTATTGTGATAAATGTTATATCCATAGTTAGATAATCACTCCAATAAGTGATTCAACAATTTTGTTCATATATACAAGGTGAAGCTAAGGGTTTTCAATATTATCTTTGAGAAGCTTCTTAAGAATGTGAATGCAAATTTTGACTTAGTCGACATTTTTTTTGTAAAATGCTTGCACCAAATTTATTCAAACTTTTGATACGTTCAAAAATCGTTGGAAAAAATAAGAGAAACGACAACGTTTTCGCAAAAATCGTGATGCGTCAGTTATTTAATTGTAACACTCACTGTTTTTTATAAAAAATATCTTATTGTTAGTGTTTTTCCCATAATTAGCAGTGTAACATGATTCATTTATGTGTTTTGAGCAGTACAAGATACAAGATCAGTTGGGAATCATAAATTAAGTAATTAATTTCTGACAAAAGTCAGTTATGTTTTATCGCAATTTTAAAAATTCACAAATATCATTAAATAAATTTGAATCAACCAAATTGTTTCAGGATTTCGGGAAATTGCAACTTTTCTACAACTGACACATTGTTTTTATAGAGTTGTTTCAAATATTTTGTTAACAATGAAAATATTATAACACCAAAGCGCAATATATTTGCTACAACCAATTCTGTTTATTACATTTGGATATATGTGACTATGTTCTATTCAGTACTTTGATTAAATGTTATTAATTGCAAAATATTATATCGTTTTAAGTCAGACACAGTACTGACTTGATGTGATCTTAAATTAACGTAGAAAAGTTTACTTATTTATAACAGCTAATTGAACATCCGTATCAAAAGAATATCAATTGAAGTTTATTATTATCTATCATAATTATAATAATCTCGATATAAGTTGAGCTGTTTTAAGTAATTTTAATTACATTAGTATCATTTTAATAATTATATTCAACACTAAAAATTCAATTTTAATAAAGTTATATAATTTACGTAAATTAATTTGACAAATTATTTTGCTAATATTCTAATAATTTTTTTCGTCGTTAGAATGGTAACTTTGAACACTTCACTATTTTTTAATTAATATTTATATTCTAGCATTTCATTATAAATATAATTTCATATTTTTAATTTATTATAAAATATATCATGTCATTTGTTATCTTAAAAAATGATAACTCTGATAAAATGCTATATCTGTAATTATTTATGAACAAAAAACAAATTATTTTTTTTTGTAATTAATCTATAATAAATGCATTTTTTCAAAGAACATAGTTGCTTAGAATTTCTTGCAATTTCGTAAGATATAAATTAATTAAGAAATAACTTTCTTTAAAATGAAAAAATATATTGAAAACTAATTATAATTATTATAATATCAAATTATAAATTAATATCTAAATGATTAAACTTTTAGAATAATTTGAAAACTAAAAACACGTGTAGTGTAAATAGAAATTATAAAAAATTAAGATTATTGATATTGTAATGAGTTAATTTATTATAAATTTGAATATTTTGAAATATCGATAAAAATAATTAATAAGGTACCAGTGTAAAATTTTTTGCCCATAAAATTAAAGTTTTAATTTTTGTATTAATTTCAGATAAAATTGAAAGAGAAAAATATGATTTTGTAGTCAGAACTCACAAATTGTGGACTGCCAGTCTTTACTAGCTCCCCTGGATGTTCGCTTAAGAAATCTCCAAGAGCCCTTTCTGCAAGAATGTCAGCTGTCATTTTACCGTAAGCTTCTGTCAAGGCGTTGGAACTTGCAGAATTGGGGGCAGTACCACCGCCTGTGGCGGTAGGGTCTGTCACTTCTCTAATATTTGTGGTGTCGCTCAACACGTTGCTGTTGATGCCTCTTCCCAAATTTGTAGAATTCTGATTTACTGATCTATTGGAAATTGATCTCTGACTTCCAGGGACAACAATTGGATGGTGATTGGTGACACCACTTCTAACTTGTTGATTTTGGTTCAAAAGACTACCGGTCTCTAGTAAATGTCTTCCAGACGTAGGACTTATGGATAGATTCGTGGCGTCGTTTGCTGAAGATGGTGTGGTAGTAGATGATATTATGCCAGAGTTGTTGGTACTTGATGATGTTAAATGCATTTTATGGATTGGATTAATTTAAACTAATTTTTGTATGAGTACTATATGAATCGACATATCATTTTAGTGTATATCTTTTGGCAATAAATATTGGTTTTTATGAAAAATGACGATAGATTATTTTAATTTGTTTCCAATCACACCATTTGTTTATATTGTTTGCTATTCTTAATTTATAGTTTATATTTACAAGTACTATTTTAATCACTTTTCTTGAATTTGAAATGTCAATAAATAATTATAATTAGTAAAATATCATAACGAAAAGGTTAAACAACCAACAGATTTTAATTGATATTTATATAGAAACAATAACTAATTATATTCTTTACAAGTAAATTCTTTTCTAAGTTTAATAATTTTAATTGATGATCAACAGTTCAAATGTGAATATTTCTATACAATTTAGTAATACGGATTATTTCTTGAAGGTTAAGTTTTTCTAGTACAATTTAAACTCTGCTTTTTCAAAAACTCTATTCTTTTTAATACTTTGTCGAAAACATCTATTGCCATTGCTTAGAAACAATGATTTTTTATTTTTCTAAATATCAGTCAGTATTTCAAATACAATACTTTAGCATTTGATTTCAATTGGAATCCTCGTTAACCAATGTGTTCGCAAATATCATGCCGACTAAATTCACGTGACGATTTCTCTCGTTGTAACTTTCATGTGGGTTATTCTTCATTCACGATTTTTCACATTTTTTCACATACACATGAGCACATTCCGTTTTTATGCACGTTTACTTTTACATATGAACTTTCACACACGTAAGTACCATATATTTTTCACCGGCCTATCGATGCGTCAGTCAAACAACATGCGCGTTGTTGTTGTTTTTTTGCACCACCACACAAATAAAAATAAAAATGAACGAAAAAAAATTCTTTACACGTATACGCACGCACTTGTATATTCAAACACTTTCCGTACCATATGAGCACACAGGCACAATTTCCATGCGTGTGTGGAAAAATCGCGCATATTCAGCGAGGTTTTGTTTTTTAAAAAAATACCGCGTCACTCCGCGATGTCGTTCGGCCACGTTTTTCCGCGGATCCACGTTTCTGTTTTTCGCGCCGTCACGATTAGTTCGATTTTAAACTTAGTCCTAAATTAACACGTTTGGCTTACGGACGTTTGTTCGTCTATTTGTTGCTTACGAGGACGAATAAAAAACTGAATGTTTTTTTCTAACACTTTCGTGTAGGTTTTCGCTTAAGCCTGGCATTGGCGGAGAAAACGCGTACTTCTCTGCACCTCACGGTATAGCGGTATTAGAGCACTCTGGCATACAAACGACGTGTGTACTCTCAAATGGTTGCTCCAAAACCGCTAAAACATACATACACAGACTCATAACATATACTTCGTGCGCACATGTAACCAAATGCACGTACACCCTCGCACGCGCACACTAGCGCAAGCGGGTTCGTCTCCCCCCGCCTGCACATGTCTTTATATAATCAAAAGTAACACCAACACATGGTAACCCTTTAAAACCGCATCATACATACGCACGGGCACCAATACTCGAACAAAAGCGCATGGAAATGATTATTATTTACATACACGTTCAAAATATGCGAAGTTCTACACACGCGAAAAACTTTCAGTGTGTATAACATACACCGTAAAATGTGGATATGCACAATTATAATACATTTAGAGTTTACCGTAGAATTGCACACAGGCAAATCCCATAGCCACGCTCACTTAAGCAAAATCTACGTTATGTGCAATTTTATCGCTATATTTACTATATTTACCGTAACACGATTTTACTATACAACGGACCAAAGCACATATGCACAGATACACAGACTCGCTTAACCCTTACCACGCTCGAACTCATTACATGAAAATATAATACAGTGTGTTAAACAGAGAAGGATATAATGTAGTGAATTTCCTAAAAACCGCAACTCTGTAACGCTACCTCTTTCCCACTCATTATAGCTGCTAATTTTCAATGGTTTTGTCTTTGTCTCGTTCATTACGTCCGCACAGTTGTGTATTGCACTCATTAGACCGCCACGGAGATAGCATCTCTTTCTCTGGCACTGTACATGCTGTCTTTGTCATTATCATTAGCAGACTCGCGCGCACGTGGCGAACAGGACAACAGGATTTTAGGGATCCCAACAGACATAAGCGAGAAAACATCGAAAACAATACAAGTTAGAGCAAGACCGTGTTGACTTTGGTGTCTTTCGGTAATTGCTAAAACAAGACAACATCATCATTGAGGTAGTCTGATAAAGACAGAAGCGATGCACGAAAAGAGCAAATACGAACCTACAACTTATAACAAGCACGACAAAGACAGCCGGGTGGTAGGAGCGAGCATAGGTATCTTACATCACGTCGCGACGTCTGCGAAAGAGAAGACTCAACACTTGCGGTGTCTGCGCCCGTACCGGCGCTGCCTGAGCTTGAGTATGAGTAAAGCGCTAGTTTGAAACCGCCAGCGCGAGCGAGCGAGCGCTACGGCAATGCGGTTTTGCCGTACACATAGTGCGGTAGGCGTGGCTTTGCGGCTCCGCCGGTGGGTGGCGGGCGGCCGGCGGCGGCGGCGGCGGCAGCAGCGGAGCACGTGGAAACTCTCTGACACAGACACCGACTGTGGTCGAAGAGCTAGCTCACGTTTTCAATGGATTATTATTATCCGATATTAACGTAAACACATAGAATCCTAATTTATATCCGTCAAAATATTATACTTAGCGTGAGCTTAGTGTTTTACAAAAAAATGTATATATTTGTTACAATTCAGTATAGTTTCAATATCGGAAATAACTTATTTGAAATATTAAAATATCATTACAGCCAAGAACTTGATACTTCAAACGTATCTGATGTTAAAGTTCATTCCTCAATTGAAATACTTCATAAATTATATTATAAATAAAATATTTATATTAAAATTATAAAAACTGGCATTAAAACTAATACAATGCAATTGAAATTTCAAAAACCAAATGCAACTGCAAATATCAATAAAGAAAAAACATTCATTTTATTAAAATTTTATTTGTGGAGGTACTAAATATGATAAAATTCTATATATATATATATATATATATATATATATATATATATATATATTAGGGTGGTCCTTAAAATGGTCATATTCGAATTTTCTTGCTCCCAGGGGCTCAAATGGTTCCAAATAGATAAAAAACAATTCTCTGAAAGTTTTAGCTCTTAATATTAACGTTTAGATAGAGCAAAATTCAATTAAAGTTTTGTATGAAAATAGCATGGAAAAATTTTCAAAAATTTTAAAAATGTTTTTTAGATGTAATTTAGCAAACGAATGAATGAATAAAACTCATTCATTTGACGCTAAGTTATACCTAAAACATTTTTTTTAAATTTTCAAAAAATTTTCCATGCTCTTTCCATACGAAGTTTGATTGAATTGCGCTCTATCTAAACGTTAATATTCAGAGAATTGTTTTTTATCAATTTGGAACCACTTGAGCCCCTGGGAGCAAGGAAATTCGAAAATGACCATTTTAAAGACCACTCTAATATATATATATATATATATATATATATATATATATATATATATTTTATAAAATCGCGAAAACCATGACAGCAGCCATACGGTGGAGCGATCGGTTAGATTACAACTTAAAAACTGGCAGCGATTATTTTGGTATAAAATCAATTTCTCTAAATCACCGTCATTTTTAAAAAAATGAAAAGTATAAAGTCAATATGTTATATTTTACGTTGGCAAATAAATAAATTTGCAAAAATAATAAAAATTCAATAACAAAATGTCACTCAATGAGAATAAATGTAATACAAAGATAAAATGATAAGTCTATGATTAAATAATACTAAATAATATTTTCACAACTAATTGAAAAATATCTATGCAGTTTTTGCAAAACTATTAATTTTTCCTATATCAATCAAATGGTGCTATGCATGATGCAACAATTTTCATGAGGATTTGCCAACTCATTAGTAAATTACTTTATAATCCGGGTTTTCAACTTCAAGCGATATTTATAGCAAAATGATATTTAGTTTCTAATAAATAACAAATGTACTGTATTAGTATTATTTATTTCCAAATCGATAATACTAATAAATCGTAGTCTGCACGAAGGCAGGTCGATGGTGTAATCAATGATTTCTTTTTCCTTCTTTGTTTATTATTCTCATTGGCATTTCGTTAACGCAATATACTTTTTTATATACTTTTATACATTCTCCTTTCCATACTTCTGCTTTTATGCTACTTGTTTTTGTGTTTTGGCTTTTAGTTTCCTGTATTTTCTCTTCTCGTGTAAGTCCTTAATTATTTGCATTCTTCTTCTTACCGGTTCTTTTAGTCCTATTTTACCTTCGACGAGTGTGGAAGGCATTTCTTTTGCAACATGGGTCCGATGCAGTTTTCTATTAATAGAATTTCTTCTTCGACTACTTTTCTCACCACTTCATTTGATACCTTATCTGCCACCCATTCGCCTCCAGCACCACTTTACAAAACTCTCCAAATAAAAAATTGCCATTTGGCGGTCATGATCATCAGACATGGGAACATCATTTTATCAGATATTTTATGGATTTTAATAATAAATACATGTGAAATATAGAAAATGTATAAAAAATTAAAAAACAGTATCTAGCTAAAATTTTGACATAATTAGAAGAAGACGCAATAGCATTAGTAGGAAACTGAAGAAGATGGATCCAGAAGATAGAAGAATGAGCAAAATTAAGATAATGTAAAACGAATTAGAATTATTTTAATTTAGAAGTAAAAGTAACAAACTAAATTAAAAAATAATATGGAATATAAAAGTGAAATGCTGTAGGTGACTAACTGCTTCATAAAAGCGAGGCCAATAAAATTTAAAAAAAATTATAATAATAAATACATATTTTGTTTACATTTCTATTTGATCTCCAAAATAGCTACTACGGCTACATAGCAGTCAAGCGAGTGTCGAGTAATTTCAAAATATAA